GGATCCTTTTTTAAAAAAAATGTATTTATTTTTAAATTTTTTTGGGGGGAGGTAATTAGGTTCATTTATTTATTTATTTTTTAAATTGAGATACTGGGCATTGAACTCAGGACTTCATGCATGCCAAGCATGCACTCTACCACTGAGCTATACCCTCCCCCTCCAACATCCTTTTGACAGGACCCTGTTTTTCTTTGAAGCCTCTCTGCTTGCTGGCACAAGGTGTCCCAGCTTATCAGGAACCTCTCCTAACACTGAATCAGCCACTTCTCCAAGAATCTTTTTTTTTCCCCTTCTTAATGGAAAAAGTAGCACATATACTGGTATCTGCACTAGGGTGCATTTTGGGGTAAAGTTACTCTGAGGCCGTATCAATGAACAAGGCTTGAAAAGGCATTTCTTAAAGACATGAGTTCACATAAACTATTTTCAATACTTTAAGGTATTCTAACTTAAAATTCTTTTGATTCTTTAATTTTATCTCCTTTCTCTTTATTTTGACTAATAAAACTGCTTTTTGCTCCATCTGACAATCTGTTCTAAAATAACAGTATGATATAAATATGAGCGTTAAAGCTACTGAATAGAGGTCAAGGTTTTCTGTACAGTCCCCTTGGTTCTCAGCCCCCTAGTGACTAATAATCTCTCATTCAGCTCTTTAAATAGTCATCTGATAGGGGGGTTCAGTTCTACTGTTTCGTTGTGCTTTCAGCTTGAGGGTACCGGTATTCTAAAAGCTGATGGTTTGTAGAAGGTGGCAACATTTAGCAAGCATTTCCTTCTCTTCTTCAGATCCTGGAGGTGGGGTGGTCCATCCACATTGCTGTTCTGTTTTGAAACAGCACAATGTACAACATCCTGTATATGTTTCATTTCACCCCTATCATGTCCATTTACTGTCACTTAAAACACAGTTAAAAGTTTCACACATGTGTGATCTCTAGCCGAACTAACTGGTTCTGCATATTATTTGATTTTTGAAAATATCAGAATGCACATCTTTTACAGTTGGAAAATACGTTTTTACTATAATCAATCCCATCTTAAAACTTAGATTGTGTTTAAAAATGTATTAACGTTCTCTCGCCAATTTAATAGGTGTTTCATATTGTGCTACCAAGATTTATAGTGAATAAACTCACGTGATTCTCCCAGGTAGTGTTACCCTGGCCTACTAACAGCCGATATGTTTCTTTTTACTGCAGGAGATCAGGGAGATAGCTATTATTTTGATATAGATCGCTATTACTTACATAATTGAGAAATAATGACAAATCACCTATATGCTCTAAAGGTTTTATGTGAAAGCATCTTTTAATTCCTGGGCCACAGTACACATCTTGCCTTTACTATTACCTGTATTTTTAATTACAGACAACTCTGGTGTAGAGTCCTTCTGATAAATATAAAACTTACAAAAGCAAAAATAAAGTTTACTAAAATAAAATGCAATTAGAATAATACGTTTCTTAGTTTCATTATACAATAATAAATCACTTGTGGAAATTTAAAAGGCATTTAATACAAAATTTTCCTATTTGGAATAAAGGTTTTTAAAAATTGGGATTCCAAAATTAACTTCTGATGAAGGGTAGGGGTGGTGCTGGCTGGCTCTTCCCCGGCCTTTAGCTTGAGCATTTGCTAATCAGCAAGATTTAAATGACTACTTTGCTTCCCTTTGATGCCCTGGACATGGCCCAAGCCTCTAATCTATTCTGTTTCGGGTCAGTCCAAAATTGCATTTTTCTTTTTAAATTATTGTTTTGGAGGGCAACTTTTCAAATAGGTGGCCGTTCTTAAGACCCTGGGGATCTCTGAATATCATTTGCAGCCCAACATGTTGTGGAGGAAATAGATTTCTTTTATCTACAAAACAGAGAATATGTACTTTAACTGCTAAAAGTGAACTGTTTAGTTACAGCTGTTTAAATTGCAGCATCTACGCAACACTTCCTCCTAGACTGGGATTCTTTATTTTAAAAGCAAACTTCTCAGCTCTAGCCATTTGACTGATTAGTTTTCTGAATGCTTTCCAGGTTCAGACAGAGCTAATGTCAGTATACCAGGCCTCCTCTGGGGAGGAGCAATCATCTATCTAATGGGGGGCAGGACAGCATCCCCTAGGGGAGTGATACTCTTTTGGTTTACACTCTCCCTTGTCCCCAGTCATCATTTCCAGAGCATGCCTCCTAAGGGCTAGAGACTAGAGACTGAGTCTGGGAAGGCTGTTCTTAGAGACAGCCATTCATTTTGATGGGTTACTGAGGTGGTCTTCAGACACTGGCTGTTGAGCAATGCCCTTCTCCCTGCAGTGATGTTCTTATAAATGACAATCTTGCTTTACATTCCCAGTCTGTGATCTTTTACTTCCACAACAATCTGTGAAGAGTCTTGTAAGGCGTCTAGAGCAGCCCAGATGCAGGGAATGACAAAGGTGGACGTTGGCAATGTTTCTTGAACTTCGTGAATGAATTAGGGATTTTGTTAAAGTGTAGTTGCTGATTCAGTGGGTCTAGGGTGAGGCCTGGGATTCTGCATTTCTAGTAAATCCCCAGGTGATGCTGAAGCATCCAAGGACCACACTTTTGAGTAGTGAGGGACTATAGGATGTGAATCAGGTTCACATACAGTAAGATCCCCTGATATCTTATTTTGACATCTTTCCCCTTTTCTTTGCTATCTGCGGACAATGAAGCTAAGCTCCTTAAGCCTTTCTATCATTTTATGTGGGATCATAAACAGAGCCTGCTGTGTGACTCTTTCTTCTTCCCTTCTACCTGCCTTCCTGTATCCCTTCCTGGGCATGAATGGTATCAGTGCTCCTCAATCCAAGGGTCAGGAAGGGACCTTACCTGCTTCTCATTTCATAGTGACCTACTGTGGTCCCCATTCTTTATAAGCCAGAACTGGCTGACCCCAACATTTTCCTACGATGTCTTCTGAGACCATGACATCTTGAAGTATCTAAGGTCAAGCCTGGAAAGTTCTCATCCAGCCAGATGGAGCTGTGGCATCTGTGGGGAAGTGAAGTTTGCAAAGCTCTTAAGGAACCTGAAAACCTAGGGATGCTTGTGACTTTCAGGTAGAAGAGATGACCTTTCCATTCCTAGCAGGGGTGGAGAGACTGGTCCTTAGAGCCATAAATCAGCAAACTCCAAGAAGGCTATCTGAAGTGTTTGTCTAATGAAACATTAGGATTTATCACTCTGTTATGCTTTTTCATTTTCTAAATTCCTGACTTGTTAGCCCTGTGTTATCATGAAGGGACCAAGTCCCTCCACAGAAGGGACTCGTTCATTTGTTCTCCCAATGACACAATTTTATGACTTGTTATTGTGCTGGAACCTACTTTCCAGCTGCCACTGCCCTGTAGGGAAGTGTAGGATATGGCTTCAGCCCTGATCATCAAATCTTTTTTCCATTTCTGGTCCACTGTGAAGGTCCACTTACCTTGTTTTTGAGCCCAGTTATTTCTTTTTGGTTTCTCTCTTTTTAAATCTATTGTTGCTGTGTGTACTAGGGAGGATTTCCTATGTCATCTGACCAGAATTCTGAGGTTGTGAAAGTGGGTTTTCTATACTGCTATTTTGAGCAGATGAATAAATGTTCAAGGTATTTTAAAAGACAGTCCTTGGATTAAGAAAGACTTGGGAGTGGCATTCCTGATGGCTTTTACTGCATCGTACCACCCACTTACAGCAAAGGCCAGAACAGGAAGCAACGCAGGGAAAACCTCGGCCCTGTTTCAAAGTTGCTGAGGTTCTTTACATACTGTCTTAAAAAACAACAAGGAGGTACCAGGGGAGAAAGCACTGCCAGCATCAGGAATCATTATACTTCTCTTAGGGGACAAGAACACTGTGAATCATAACTGACATTTCCCTCTCCCTACTGGTCTTAGGATGCTCACAGTCCAGTTGGTGACCCACATGTACCAGAACATCAGGCAGCCTTTTCAGTGCTCATCTGTCTTCAACTTGTTTCCCACTCTTATTTGATTATTTTTGAAAACTGAAGTATAGTTGATTTTCAATGTTGTGTTAGTCTTAGGTGTACAGCAAAGTGATTCAGTTACACATTATGTCTATTCTTTTTCATATTTCCATTATAGGTTATCACAAGCTACTGAATATAGTTCCCTGTGCTATACAGTAGGTCCTTGTTGTTTATCTGTTACATATAGTGTGTATCTGTTAATCCCATACTCCTAATTTATCCCTCCCCTTCCTTTTCCCCTTAGGTAACCATAAGTTTGTTTTCTATTGTTTTTTGAATAAGTTCATTTGTGTCTTTTTTTTTAAGATTCCACCTAAAAGTGGTATCATATGATATTTGCCTTTGTCTGCCTTACTTCATTTAGTATGATAATCTCTAGGCGTTTCCAAGTTGCTGCAAATGGCATTATTTCATTCTTTTTTTATGGCTCCTGCCCTTATTTTAAAACAGTCCATAAGTGCATGTACCATTGCATTCTATGAACTTACGTGATTTATCTTAAAATCCTTTTTTGCATGAAGGCCTAATATAATCTAATGAAACCAGTCTCACCTTATTTTCCCACCTGGACTGGCTAGCGGCTGTGTGTATCAGTACACGTTGACTCCTGGCACGAGGCTGGTTAATGTTGGTTGTTGTCGTTAAAAACATACAGAGCGCCTTCCTCAATCTGCCACATATCGCTCAAGGAAGGAAGGCCGGACTCTGTCTTAAACCGGGCCAAAGAGCCACAGGGCTTATTCCCAGGCCCCAAACCTGTATCACCCCGCCCCCCGGCCTGCCCTCTCCCTCCACGTTACCTCCGTCCTCCACCCTGAGCGGCCTCTCCTGGCCCCCTCCCACTCACCTCTCCCGGCGCAGCCTCCTTTCTCCATCCATCACCTCCCTCCCTCCTCACACCCTTTCCTCCCAGCCTGGCTTCCCGACTCCCTCCATCAATACGGCTGCCCCTCCCGCTCCCCCGCCGCCCCGCGGCCTTCCCGGGGCGGCGCGGCCTCTTCCGGCCTGCGGGAGGGCGGGGCCGGGCGCTCAGGCAGGCGGGCCGGCCGGTGGTGCGAGCGTCCGGGGCCCGCGCTCCGCCGCCGGCCGGCCGGCCATGCTCATCACGCTGTGCTACCTGTACCTGTGGGCGCGCTGGGGGCGCCGGCCGGCCGCACTCGTGCGCACCACGGTGCAGCGGCTGCGCGCCTCGCGCTGCTCCTTCACCTTCTGCGGCGCCGCCGCGCAGCCCCGGGACGCCCGCGTGTGCCTGAGCCGTGGCGGCCGCGTCTTCTGCGTCGGCGAGAGCCAGGTGGGCGGG